CAAATGTTACACTCCGGGAAATCCACGGGTGAAGGAACATTGTCATTCATTCGGGGTCATGACATCCACATCATCCACTTGCATGATTATTTCAAGGATTTTAAAGAAGGGTGCATTGTTACATCAAGGCCCGACATGATCAGGTGTGAGGCCTCCAAGACTGGCTGCTTCCAAGAATCAACTCGACTTCTTCTCGACTTCAAGGCCTGCAGTTGTTCTCCGGCGGGTGTTCGTCCTAACACATGCATACAATACCAATTCAATCTTCGCCATGTCAAACTGCACAAGGAAAGTGTCCAAGCAACGACCAGCTTTCGTGCTTGAGTATTGCATGGGAACTGGGACGAACTGGGTGTGTGTACAGGAAAAAGAATGGTTTACAACACGCACGGGATTTCCAATGTGAGTGCAACAAGGACCGATTTCGGTCAAACCCAGTTGCATTGGAAGAAAGAATCCGGTGGATGGCTGGTTCAGTATCTCCCCCTGCTATCTCCCCAGGTCAAAAAAACCTGTTCAAGCCTGTTTCAGGATTTGAGTAGGTAATCCTGCACCTCAGACAAAGGATATTCGGATCCGGATGTCATTTGTAAAGGTGCTGTCAAACTACTACATCTCACATGAGACTCCACAAATTCGCATCCAACTGCCGTTCAGAATACACTCAAATGATCGGTCGATCTTATGGGAGTCTTTAGACATGCGGTTGAAGACATGTTCGGAGATGCTTTTGTTTCTACTGGCTTCTTGTTACTGCCTTACTAGGCACTTGTTACTCGTGGCGATGCACTTGTTCCTATAGTAAAACCAGAAACCAGACTCTCATTTGGAGCAAAATTGGAGGCAAAGTATGGCAGGAGTCGCACGAGTCCACCGTGGGGCACTCGGTCAACCACACGGGTCCACCGTTTTGGGCGTTAACGTAAATGGTACTTCCCTAAGAATCCTTGGGCTGTCCATGGCAGGGGTCGGACCCTCCATGGCAGGGGTCCGGGGCCTCAAAACCCTATCTGTTTGAGGGCCCGGATTCTTAGGGTTGTAGAAATTACCCAGCTACACCTGTTTTCATGGAGGGCGTTCTTACAGTGGGGATGAAGGAAATGGTCCACTTCATCACTGCAAGTTCTAGCACCCTAGTGATGGCTTGATATCGTTTGCCTCTTCCTTGGCTCCTTCCGGTCCCGATCCGCGAGAGCACCGCAAAGCATGGCCCCAGTCGGGGACCTTCGAGCGCCCGCCCCAAGCAAGTATATATCTTGAACAAGAACCAGGAGGACACCTCTGGTGCAGTTACTGCAGTTGCGTGTCTTTTCTGAGTGTAGATGTCCCAGATCACTGTCGCTCTTTTCTTTTTTGCACCCGGGCACGTCGTGCGTGAGCCACCAGCCGCCCCACTCGTCCTCTCGCGCCCCGTCTGTCCCTGGCGTCGCCTAGTTGTCCACTTCGCTTCGACTTAAGCCTTCCTGGCTATACTTCCACGGCACACCATAAAGTCCAGGTGTGATGCTCGCTGGAGCTTTCATCTCTGTCACCGTAGAGGTCTCTGTCACCGTGCTCTTCGGACGGAGCAAAGGGCCGTTGGATTCGAAGGAACGGATCTTGGTGCCTAAGGACTGCACCAGCGTGGCATCTTCAGAGACGGTGTTTGGGAGCACCTCAGTCATAGGAGCTGTGTCTAGAAGTTCCTGAAGATCGGTCAAATACTCCCCGGTCCACTCACGCGCACCTAGAGCTACTTCCAACTCGAAGGGGGTGCAAATGGGCACCATGAAATCACGGAGATCCCACATAAACTGCTCAGGCCCGGAGAGCAACACATAGCACTCAATCTCTGGAAAGTTGCCCAGCTTCTCTTGGGTGGGTTGCCCAACGACCAGCCGGTAGGACTGGCGGTTGGCCTTGGACAGCAAGGCCTCCAGCCTCTCTGCCAGGGCCTTTCCCAAGGTTGTAGGGCCACCGGCGGAAACCATCAAAAGCCCAATGGTGCCAGCAGCCTTGGCCAACTCAACAAAGCGATACCTCTTCTGAAGCAACGCATGACTAAAGATTCGCTCCAATCTTGCGCCCACGTGGGGGCTCTCCGCCTCCAATCTCTCTAGACTCCAAACGGGGCACGAGGCGCCATAGCGCAAAAGTGCGCAACGCTCTAGACTGGAGCCCTTAGGGCCAACATAGAGCACAGCGCTGTTGGGTGGTAACGTGCGGCCCATAGAAGGTTGTGTGTCGGCGCCCGAGCCCAAGGCATAGACATCGCGGCCACAAACCTTGAGTCTTGGAGGCCGGGCAGCTCCTGTCAAAGCAAAGTTTTAGAGTTGATATTGACCAGTTTGATATGTCGCATTTCCAGTGTCAGGCAGTTCTTGGCTTGAAACACCTTGATAACACTCTTGCTAGCCATAATGTCAGTGAGTGCGCTCAAGTCACTGCAACATGATCCATCTATATCAATCTATATTATACAGTTGACTGGTGCGGCCTGCCAAAGTCAAGGTTCCAAGCGTAGACCACCAAGCTTGCCCGAGCTGCAATGCGCCAAAGCGCCAATCACGCCATCCAGTCGGAATGTCACCCGAGAAAGCCTCTTGATGTGGAGTTGCCACCAGTACCTGCCATCGAGCCTCACTGGGGTGAGAAGACAAAAACTTGCCAAAGCTTTCCACCAGAGCTTGGCCCAGTGGTTCTGCCATGTACTGCTGGGGCAAGTCACAAAGTACCAAGAGGTGCGCATCCATGTCATCGCCTTCTACGCGAGCACGCTTCGCGAACAAGCCATGAACTCTCTTCACAATTTCCTCGGCATCCTCTACACAGTCAGCAGCGATCTGCTCATCAAAGACGAAGAGTACCGGCAAGTCACCACCTCTTTGCTGTTCCGCGTGCCCGAAGCGAACGATGCAGTCCGCGCCGTAATGGCGCGCACCGACTTCATCAACGCCCCCTCCACCGAAGGAGGAGTCACCCAGGATGAAGACCCTACGATCCTTCAGTTTCTCGCACACCTGCTCGAGGATCTCGGGTGCTTCGCCAAGGAGGGCGTCCGGGAATTGCAACGCGACGCGTTCCTGGGAGGGTGAGAAAACATGGCATCCATGGGCCTTTTCCAAAGAAAAAGCACCGGGGACCCCGTAGAGACTGCAAGCTGATTCAGGTGGGATTTCAAGCAGCAAAAAGTAAAAAGACACATTGCTTGGCGCCTCCCAAGCTTCAAAATGATGCTTCCGGACCCACTCTGAAATCCGTTCGGCGAGTGCCATCTTTGGGCAGCTTGAGCCAGTCTTAGTCATGGACAGTGTTCACATCAAACCTCTCCTGCTGTTGTAACAAACAGGTATGCCTGCACAAACAAGCGCCCGGCAAAACATGGCAAAAGCACGCACACTAAAAGCCAATATTGTTTTTGTTGGCCTCTTTTGTTGACCTCACATGTGCTTTTTAGAAATGCAATCCGATTTGGGAATTCGCTGGTTGCCTGAGAAGTCGCATGGATCTAACATGATCTACAACAACATCGAAACGCTGGGATCCACCAGCCCGGGAAGTCACACCTTCTTCCCCCGCACCCACCCAGACCTGGTCGCTGCGCTGAATCCCTTGCTGGAGGTCAGAGCCGAAACAGCGCAAGGCATCCAATGCAGTACGGGTGACGCTGGGTGGAGCTGTTTGAAAGAGGCTCAAAAAGAGTCTAGTCAGAGTTTACATTGTTCAATGACTTCCGTGTGGCCAAGCAATTGAACCACCAATGGACCACGCAACAAAAAGGAGGACACGCAAACACAAACTCGGGGGGTTAATTCAATTTCACAGGTGGGTATATAAAAGTCTATGACTGTGGAGAAAATAGCATTTGGGCCCCTTACATCAGGTCTGCTTGTCTCGGATGCCCAGGACACCAGAACACACCAGTCCACTTGGAACCGTCAGTCCCGCCAGTCTTCCGATCTGGGGATGAGGAACTTCATTGATCAGTTGGAAACACCTGCGTCTTGCTCCCACGAAACGCGGGGCGCCGACACTCACAGCGTTTTGCCCGCTCGTTGCCTGGCCGGACACCGCCTCGAGTCAACCGCGCCCAGCGCGTCATGTGTGGCTTCAGCGCCGCTACTCCTCCTCAGAGCGTTCGAGCAACCGCTCCTGCGGCAGAACACCCTCGTCTAGAGTGGATTCAGCCCCATCGTCTATAGTCTCCGGCTCTCCATTGTTTATCAGGTCAACCGATGTATGCCATATATGCCTACATTGACCCCCCAAACCACCCCAATGTAAGCATAGGTGGCATACATGGAGTGTCTGGGAGTTGCTTGAGAACTGACATGCGTCGACCACACATCGACTCCTGGGGACACTGTGGTACAAGCCAGCCAGTGAAGGGGGAGAGAACAGGAAGGGCAGGAAGGTACTTGTCATGCCCAACCTCCATGTTGGTGCTTGAGAGACATCTGCATTGAATTTGCCTGATCGTGGTTAAGGCTCAAATTAAGACCTAGGACTGCCCCCCCTAGCTTTCTTGCAAGGGAGTGCACGCCTCACGAGAGTCTACGGCAAAACATGGCATGTCAGGCCGTCGAAGAGTCGAGCCTCTTTTCACCCTCCATGTCAGGCGACATCTACTTTGGCCCCTCTGGGAGGCATTCGCCGAAGTCCGTGCGAGACATGGCTCATCGCTCTAAAAGTTCAACCAGCGCCAAAAGCTGTGTCACATGGAGGCAAAACAAGGTTCATGTGCTTGAAAGGTGATCGGGATGGCAAGCATTCCCAACTAGGGAGTGATTTCCCAATACTGTCTAGCCACTACGCATCCGCGTGTGCTAAATAAATCTTGCAAGGATGCATGGATCATGGATCTTATGTTTCCAGGAAGTTCAAAGGTGGTTATACTGACAGTTATCGGTATCCATTGGCCTATATTTGCAGACTCTATGAATCCGACGTATGACACGCACTTGGGGCATCAGGGGTGGCATGCACCTGGTGTAGCAACTTTCAGGCAACCTTCTCCCATCTCATTCCAGCTCGAGCAACTCCTCAGCAAAAGAATTGCATCAAATCAACATACATCAACCAGGAAGTGGGGAGGAGACTGGCTGTTCCAGGATACTCCTTTTGACAAATGAGAGTATGGATACCAAAGGGAATGTGGATACTCCTTGGGCTGTGTCCCAACCAGTGGATGATAATTAGATTGAAAGGGCCTGGATTAAACATGTTGCATATTATAAATAATATATAGTGCTGCAGGGAGGGGCAGCCCCCAAGAATTGCTTCACAGTCAAAAAAAGGCACATGACTTGACAATAGTGCTTGACACTAATTTGCAATTTGCAATTTGCAATACTATATAAAACTATATATATATGGTTTAAGTTGGGTCTTGCACGATACGAGGCAAACAGCAAACATATTCTAAACCACGGAAGAATTGGAACCGCACATGGTGAGCTGCTTTTCAAGGGTTTGAAGCAACACACAAAACGTACCCAGCCTGGAGATTAGAGTGGGCTCCAATTCGCAACAAAAAGAAACGGTTTGGACCAGGGAAAAATCCATAAAAATCCAAAAAGCTGGTTGCTATTGAAGTGCATTCTGTCAAGTGCTTCCCCTTGGGCGCTCACACCTTTCTGCAAGCCAATCCAAAGTGAGCCCAGCACATCACATGACCCCCTAAGACACGAGATACACGTCCAACAAAACGCACATGGACCCCAAGAAATGGCACCCTTAGAGATGGTTTACAAACCCGCGGTGAGATACGCGTCGTTCGTCTTCAGTGTCTTACAAACCTCTGTATCGATCCCAGGTTCCCGTCGCTTCTGTTCTTGTTGTTCTTGGATCAAGGCCTGGATGGAGTCGAGGACCGGTTGCCATGAAGCTCAACCCGCGCATCGTTTGGAGTGCGAAAAGTGGAGATCAAGAGATGCCACATGAAGCATGGCTGATTACGTCGGTTCGCTACAACCTTCAGGCCAATGATGAGCTGGTCTTGCCCAAAATGGAAGTCAAATACGGACCTTCTGGCTCTCAGGAGAAAGTGCCACAAACAGTTGGCCTTGCCAAGCATGTCAGCATGTCAATAACAGCGGTGAAAGACGTCACTGTTCTTGGTCACTTTGGTCTATAAACCTGCCAAATCTGATCTCAAATGTGTTCCTCCAACTGAATGCTGTGCGCCGCAACTTGGACACGCGATTTCATCCCCATCGCTGCTCCCGGATCGCTCTTGGTGGCGACCTTGTCCACGGTTTCTTCCACATCCGCCATATATCCGCCGATGTTCTCCCCTCCGGCCCGGACCTGACAACTTTGGGAGGCCAAAACGCACCAACTCAGCCGCGGCAATGATCCTTCCGCCCACTGGTCCACCGAGATCTCCTCAGAAACACTTTGAAAGCTGCAATATTGGCCCGGAACAGGATGAAAAGCATTGGGGCAGCTAAGCCCGGCACTTCGTGTTTTTTTGGACCACACACAATGTGCCAGATCCAGTGGCTAGAACATGCTAGAATAGGTCTCCATTGTCAAAGACATCCAACTTGGGCTGGATTGGTGCCGTGAAACTAGTAACGAGGACGCTACTAGTAGCAAAGGGCATCCCTACTAGGAGCAAGGACACTACGAACGTAGCTCCTGGCCTCACTAGGCTTGCAAAGTTCAAGAGCTCACTTCTGCAACTCTCCCGAGCTCTCCTGCGGAAGCTGAGCCCAGCTGAATTCAGTGCGGAGCACGTACTCCAGCAACCTCCAGGGAACGTCGACAGCCAACTCACCTGATTCAAGCCCACTCACTCAAAGGCATTCAATGGCCACGGCCACGGTATCGGTAATGATTCACATACCAGGGCCCCCTAAGGGGTGGTTCATGGATACCCTACTCTACATATATACATATATATATATATTGTAATAGGTATAGTCACATTGAGGCAAGACATCTCAGCCGCACAGCTGGTGCTACCGTCAGCTCACTCGTCCGAAGAGTCAGAGTTGGTCGGAAACCATCGACCTGGGATAGTCTCGCACATACTCCCTCGCAGTGGCAAACTCCGCCCGGAGGAAGGAGATCGAGGACAGGGTGTAGCCAAACCAGGAGCCCCACGCGAAGGGGATCAAGGGCCCCAAGCCAATCCTGAGACCCAAGGAGACGGGAGGGATCTCCTGAAGTCCTGAAGAGATGTGAAGGGAGGAGAGTCTGGTGTGAATGATTTTGAGGCACAAGTGGGTGTCCCTGAACCAGCTGGATCTCTACTTTCTGCCTGTCTTGATCCGTTTATTTTATTTATGGTCCGGATTGATTGGTCGCCCACTCACACGGCCATTTTGAGGCCCAGCTATGGCGTGAACGTCCCGAGTGCTCACCTCGCCCATGTAAAGGAAGCAACAAACCAGAACAATACCAGGACCCACAGTTGGGGTGGCGTTTTAACCTCAACTGGGGCTGTAAACAAACACCCCTTATGGGGCTCTGGTATATAATAAAGACAGTAACTGTACATAACAATTAGTTAAGATTGAGGCCAAGCAAACCCTTGGAAGCTCTTGCACGGAGCCGCTGCAAGTCGCTGGCAAAACACTTAGATTTGAATTGGTTCATGTATGTTCATGTTCAATCTACTGTAGTTGGTTCCCAAGCCAAAGCTTACTAGGCTGTGTCTTTAAAGCACACATCTGCGCCATGGGCTGGCAAGAAACCATTTTTCCCCTCAGGCACGACGTCTGCCGGTTGTGAGTTGTCGCACGTGGTTGCCTATGGCATCAAGAGTTAGTGGACACCACTCGTCAGAAGAGGTTGGACCCTTCCCTGACACCACTGGTCTGTGGCAAAGCCAAAAGTCATTTGAGACATTTGTTTTGTCCTTCAGTTTCTCTCTTGTCATGTTTTTGGAGGTCGGTCCATGTCCCTGGCACGGCTCATGTTTATTCTTTGCCAAAGCCACACGAAGCTGGACGAGTTCCGGAAGCAAACCCAGGCGAGTCTATACTTGGTCGCATGCATGTGACCGCTTGGCGCAATCATGACCTCAACAATCCTCAAGATTTTAATTGAAATGTAATCATTTTGGGTCACTTATGGAAAACCTTTTGGCCTCATTTCTCCCATTCTTTGGTGCTTTTAATCCTGTCACTTATCAGCGGTCACTCCTGCATGACTTACACTGCACGACTGACGCTCTCAAGCCCGGTCGCTCCAAGAAAATCCAACACAATGTGTCCACTAGTTGTCAATGTGTTGTCTCACGTTTGGCGAGAAGGCAAACAGGTGCGTCTTGGCATAATGATAGGGTGGCTTTCAGGTTGCTTCGGTTATATATATATATGTGAATTTGTATGCATTGGAACATGCATATCATGATATGAGATGGCGGCCCTCTCATGTGACCATTTTGGCACAAGGGCCCTTGAGTCTGGCTCATTCGAGCCCCCGACGGTTGCGCAATGGAAAAGTGAGCGCACCGCTTGCTTTTGATCGTGACGGAGTTCTTTGATCCCCGTTGGTTGAGTTGTGACAGTTGCCTTTACAAGTTGCTGTTGATCCTCCGCTCACCATTTTACATGGTAGCGGAGCTGCCAAGCTCCAGGATTGCTTTGTGAGGTCCCGGCCTGATCCCGGGTGCGGTGCAAACCGCAGAGCAGCTCGTGCCATCTAGGTACATTGCTTGTGCAGTGGTGCAAAGTTGAGTTGACGTTGATGGTTGAGCATTGACATTGATTGTTGGTTGTGGAACATTGTTGTTTGTTGTTGGCAGTTTGAGCCATGGACTACAAAGACACTCTCAAAGACCTCTACTTCGATGGGAAGCCAAGCGGATATCGTGAGTTCAGACGCAAGCTGATCCTTGGTGTTGCATCCCTTGAGGACAAGCAACAACACCTGGCCGGTCCTCGAGTCCTCGGAAGATTGTCTGGCGAAGCTTGGAAAGCGACCGAAAACATTCCAATTGCTGACCTTCGATGTGAACAAGGCTGGCTGCAAATTGTTCGGACGCTTGATCAGCACTATCGTTATTTGCCCGAGACCGAGCTCCACGAGGCCATAGATGAGTTCCTTTTTGGGTTGAAGCGGAAGGGACATGAGGGAGCCACTTCCTTCACCTCCCGGTTCAAGACAAGTCTGCATCGCCTGGAAACGCTCATCTCACAGGAGCGTCAGCTGTCCAAGAAGCAACCGAAGTCCGCAGTCGAAGAAGAAAAGAAAAAGGAAGATTCGAGTAGTTTGGAAGAGTCGGACGAACATGCCCTACCTCCAGACGATCCCAATGAACAAACAGATGAAACTGAACAAGAAGTTGAAGATGAAGTCCGGCCAGAAGCCAAGGCCAGAGCAGCACCTCCTCCAGGTCCTTTTGATCCTCCCCTTGATCCTCATCGTCGGACCGGATCCACTCCATCGGTCCGAAGTGCGAAGTCGAGCTCAAAGGCTTCACAGGGGAAGTCCACTGGGACTCAGAAAGGTGACCAGCGAAAAGATCATCTCCGTATGCAACGTCTTCTTGGAACGTTGGAGCAGTCGCATACAAAGCCAAAACCGATTTTTCCACAGTCAGTTTTGGGACACTTGTTCATGAGAAAGTTTGGTTTGTCGCGTGAGCAACGCAGCCACATCATTCGTTCAACAGGCGGCTCCAGTCGATTTGTTGACATTGAGAAGATTTTGCGTGCTAGTGACTATGAGGAGAGATTGGATGACCGGCGACCACGGCTGGACGATCGTCGACAGGTGAGACCACGACGCGAAGCCTATGCTGTTGAACAAGTTGCTGAAGCTTCATCCACCTCCATAGACCCACTTTCTGACTCCGGGTCTGGTGAAGAGGCCTACCAAGTTGAGGGTGGCGAAACATCTCTGGGTTCAGGTTCTGAGGAAGAGCTGCAGGAGATCTATGAGATTCAGAAGAAAGCAAAGAAAGAATTCAAGAAACAGTTTCGCACCTACAAGGAGTCAAAGAAGAAGGTGAGGGAAATCAAAAGAGCACGACAACCATACATGCCGGTGGTGGCCATTCCACCCACCGAAGGCGGCCAGTCCCAGGCTCCACTGGGAACTCAGGCTGCATCGTCCAAAACACCACGCTATGAGAAAAGGTCCTTTGACAAGAAGTCGCCACAAAAGGACCCAAAGAAGAAACCACCGAGGCGTGAGGACGCCAACCTGACAGAAGCTGTGGAAATTGTTGACAGGACATTGACCGAGTTCAACTATGCCCTGACCGAGTCCACCGCTGCTGAACTGGAAATTCTCCTGGCCTCAATTCCATCGGGTTTTGCAATCATTGATACTGGTTGTACAACATCCGTTGTTGGCGAGGAAACAGCACAGAGATATGAGCAGGTTTTCAGACAATGCAATTTTCCTCCACCCGTGCGTGTCACAATGCCTACAGTTGAGCTTCGTGGCTTCAATGGTCAGAGCGAAACAACAGCTGTTGGTTTGAAGTGGACAGTACAGCTGGGTTCGTTGAAAGGGAATATCACGACATATGTTGTTCCTGGAAGCGCGCCATTCCTGCTGTCACGAAGGGTGTTGGAGGGTATGCAGGCCACACTGGACTTGGGCCGAATGACCATCACGAGTCCAAAACATGGTATGCAAGATGTACCCCTGAAACAGGCCGCAAATGGCCATCTGCTGTTGTCTCTGGTGCCACAGGTTGCTGAGTGGGAGACAGTCCTCAACGACTCGAATACAAATGAGCCCAATCCGCATGAAGCCCAAGCGATGGACCGCCAGTCCATCTCCGTTGATCTCGAGCACCACCAAGACCTCAAAGGACAGGACGCGAACAAAAACAGTGTTTTAAGTGCACCAAAAATGGAGCCAACCCCGTGTGATACTCGGAGGGCGTTTCAAACTGTTTGTAAACATACCAAACGAGGAAACGTCGATTGCAGTGTTTTTCGTGCCGAACTGTCCCAGTTGTTTTCATGTCTCGAATACCAGGTGGTGCATGCCTATGTAGCATATAAACCTAGACTAGAAAGGATTCCTGCCGAAGCCGAACGAACTTCACTTGATATGAAGATAGTCTCTATGGATAAAGATGGAAACATGCACATGTCAGGATGGATCGTTCGTCCAGCCGGACGGGTCAGAAGACCTGTCAACCCAATGCAGGTTGCGATCTTTGCATTTCGATCCGAGCAAGCACCCTCTGAACCTGAGAGTGCCGGCAGTGAGTCCGATCGTGTCGAACCAGCAGAGCCGACGCCATCAGCGCACCAATGTGATTGTTGTTGTAATGATGACATAGAAGGGGATTGGGAATACACCATGCAATCAAACACCCTCGAAACTTTGTATGAAGAGGTTGACTGGGTAGATCTTGACTTGCAGGATGTTCCAAAAGAAACCCAAACGAAACTGAGAGACGCAATCACAGCGGCACGCCGTGTCGGTGTACGCATGGCTTTGTCGCGACTGCAGAGCAATCGGCAGGAAGTGCTTTCAGAACTTCGCCACTGGTTGGGCAACCAGGCTAGTAAACTTGACTCCAAGGTTGGACTCATAGAAGTTTTCACAGGAACAGCCAATTTGTCCAAACAGTTCGAAAAGAGAAACCAGAAAACAGCAATCCAAATTGGGATAGATTATGGACATGATCTTGGTAGGTTGAAGGATAGACGAAATCTCCTATACCTGGTAGCCATGACAAAGCCTAATCACATTTGGTTTGCTCCCCCATGTAAGTGCTGGGGTCCCTGGTCGAGGTTCAATATGGCATTTTCCGAGTCTAGGAAACAAGAAGTATTGAAAAAGAGACATCAAGCTAGAAGACATCTGCAATGTGTTTCGGAAACATGGCATCTCCAAACCATCCTTGGAGGTCATGCACATGCTGAGAATCCGTACTCGTCCGATATGTGGCAGGAGTTAGTGCTTGGACCAGCCTGGTCAATCCGAATTGACCAATGTGCACTCGGGCTCCGTAGCCCCAAATCCAACATCCCTGTCTTGAAGCCAACTCGGATTGTCAGCACTCAGGAGTCTTTGATGCAGCACCTTGTCCCATTTCGGTGCGATCATAACCATGGTCATGATCATCTAGAAGGAAACTACAAAGGTAGAAATCTGACATCCTGGGCCGAGACATATCCTAATAAGTTTGCACGTGTCATGGCCGATGGTCTTGC